AACGTAGACAAAACACGAATTATTTTTTTAAAAAGTTCTTTTTAGTCTAAACATTTTGGATAGCTCAAATCTTAATGCCATATAAATTGGTTTTAGAAATATTATAATGGTTTGATGTGTGAATATTTTTATATATAGCACACCTTCACAGGTACACGGGTATTATTAACACAAGCTAAGATTATGAAGAAACTTATTTTTTAAATGGTTGGAATATATACAGTATATGTAAAAGAGAGCTGCCATTAATATATTCAATCAGTTAACCAACATTTAGTAGATGTAATACCTTTCAACAACTATACAGTCATTCCAGGAATACTAATCTTGTCCAAAACATTTCTGAAATTCCTCTTTAGGTCCTGTTCTCAGAATTAATTTATAAGTCTCACAAGAAAATCAGACCCATCATTTCACCTCCATTTTTTTTTTTTTAATTTTCTCAGGTTGATCGTTAACTTTTATCATGTGCCAAATATTGTGATAAGCTCTTCCATGTATCATTGCATTAGAAGGATTAAATATAATAACTTATGAAACAGGTGTTATTTTCTCTCATTTTAAAGATTAAGGGGTTAGATAATTTGTTTGAAGTCCCATAACTAATTGGTTAAGCCAAGACGTAAAATCTGATCTGATTCTAAAGCCCATGTCTTCATTACCATGTCATATTGCTGAGTTTTCTGGAGTCCAGATCATGTTTGATTTGCTCTTTAGGGCCTAGTATGGTGCTTTACACAAAACAGACTATAAATAAATGCCACTGACAGTAGTTAATAGATGACATATATTATAAAAGTTATTGAAGAAAAAACAAAATTTAATACAATAGCATCACTGAACTCATGATCCAGCTTCTTAAGGTGACTAAAGAGAACAAAAACATGCTATATTTGTTTTTAAAAAGTATTATTTCACAGTTACACAGTACAATATGACAACTGACTTGTTCCAATAGTCCAGTTCACTTTAAATTGCACTTATGTCTTTACTTTCTCTTTCATTTTTTTCATGTTAAACCATCCCGTCCTTTTAACATTTCTTCTCAATATCCTAACTCGTTTTTTCTCCAGATACTGTATGCCATCCGATCTCATGATACTCGTCAGGATACCCAAACCATCCTTTATCCCTGTCATTCCCCACTGACACCTGGCACGCCCCAGCCCCTCCCTCCTCCTCTGGGTGGCGGGACCCCCCACCCTTCTCGGCGCTACACCCCAACGTCCACACCTTCCGACACTCTAGTCCTCTTTCCTTAAATGCCCCCGCAACGCCAACTCTGACCGCTTCCCTTCTCATCCAAACCTCCCTCATTCATCCTCCTCCCCACGCCCGTTCCGGGCCCACCCCTCCTTCCCATCCAATCCCAAATCCCAGGCACACGCCCCCGCCCCGAATCCACCTCGAGCTGGCCCAGGCCTTCCCGCCTTTGCCGCCGGCCCCCACCGTTCCGTCCGGATGCTGGAGAATGCCTTCGACCAGGTCTGGCACTCACCGCTGAGAAGCCAAGGGGAGCGGGCCTGCGGGACGAGGCCGGGGTGGAGACGCGACCCTCGTTCGCTTCAGGTGCCCAGCTGCGCGGCAGCCATTTTGTTGTGTTGTGCCGGTTGCTGTGGGCCCGCGCGCGCTACGTGGGCGGAGCCTGACGAGGCCACGCCCCTTTCCGGAGCCGTAGGGGGCGGGGCGGGGCTTCCCTCCGCCTGTGCCGCCTCAGTTGCTGGCGCGCGAAGGCGCGGGACGCATTGGCCCCGAGGCTTCTAGAGTGTGCGAAGCCTGCACTGGGCGTGGTTTCCTGCGGCTGTCGCTCTTGAGCGCATCTCCTGTCGCTAAGGCGAAGCGGCAGAAGCCTCCCGCTCGGGCTCGGACACGCTCTTTGGCGGCTGAGTCAGAGGACGACCTGAGGGACCAGCGAAATGCTGTCGCCAAGCTCCCAAGCTTCCGATGCTGGCCGTCTGGCTTTGAACTTGCGTGCCTCGAAGCACGCTCTT